AATATAAAAGAAACAAAAAATAAAATAAAATAACCAAAGTCCCTCTTTTCCTGAGCTGGATTCTAACTGTATGACCTTAGAAATTTCAAGTCACTTCTCAAGGTCCAGTTTCCTCATTTATGAGTGGAGAAGGTTAGCCTAAGGCTAAATACGGCTGCAGAATGTGGAATATAACAACTTCTGAAAGGGTCATTTTAGGCTGTCATTCTTGCTTTGCAGATAAAAATATTTAGGAGTAAAATATATGCGGAACTTGGCAAAGTTAGATATATATTTATGATTCCCAAAGAGTCAACTGATTTTGCCCCCCGAGTCTCCACAAGCCTCTCTTTGTTCAGTGGTTTTTGTTTTTACTTTTAATTTTTTTCCTCAGAATTAAAAAAAAAAAAAAAAGATTTCGGTGATTTCTGTCATTAGGAGAAGAAATTTGGCAAAAAATTATTTAAAAATTTGAAAGTAACTGAACCTGAAAGATTAAAATTTTTCAATAGACTAATTTATTGAAACTCTCTTTGATATATAATAATGTAGTTATTTCAGTTGATTTATTGAGAATTACAAGCAAATATGTGGCTTTGCCAAGTTCTGTGTATGTTTTGTTCTTAAATATTTTCATCTGCAAAGCAAGAATCACAGCTGTAAAGTATCCCTATGGAAGTAGTCCTACGCCAAATTCTAGAGCTGTAATTGGCCTTCGTCTAACCTCATCTCACAGATGCAAAATGGTGCTTTCTCAGTGTAATGGGGTTAAAAAATCAGCATTCCATGGTGTTCTACACAGAAGACTGTAATGGTCAGATTCTCTGTTCCTTGAGCTTATTTGCAAGGCAGAGGCTCAAAAGAACCCACTTGATCTCCGTTTTCCTAATAAGAGAACTGAAGCTTGGTAACTAACCCAAGGTTATATCTAGTTAATGGCTTAAACCCAGTCAGTATAAGTCTAGAACTAGATTCAATTACACTATATCCCTTCCTAGTTTGGATTTCTTGCCAAAATGTCAGTTCCCTGAGAGGATGGCGTGTATTTTGTAGTTATATTTCCAAATCCCTGACAGGGTTTGGCATGGCAAGAGCAGGCAGCCCAGCCAGCGGCCCCGGGGACTAGTTTGTCCCTACACTGATTCCAGGGGAGAGGCCATTTTTTTCTTCCATGCATGGATGTCTGAGGATGTCTTGACTCTGGGGAATCCAAGTCTCAGGAAGAGAGACTGAAAACAGATTCCTTCCTGGCCATCTTGACTTCTCAGTTCTAGTATTCTGCCTTGGGATGTTTACTGGATAGCCATTTATTGGAAGGCATAGCACTGAAGGAAAAAGAAATCATTTCACGTGAACTAATGATTCAACTTCTAGCCTCTAAAAATGACACAGTTCTCAGTTCTCTACCCCCTTACATTTCTAACTACCTAAGTTTATGTGACGTTAATTGCCCAGGAATTTATTCATTTACTTATCAACCTTTTGTTCCATTAATAATTTGACTTCTTTTGCTTCTTTGCACTTGGGGCATTGCTTCTTCAGTGTAAAGGAGTTTTAAGACAGGCAAGAAGATAAACTCAGAGCTCAAGAAATAATAAGGGGTAATACTATAATCAGAACAACTCAATTATTTGTTTTTGAGCTCGATCTTTCAGAAGGTTATTATCTGGAGTTGCGACTAATGGATTCAGGCTTTCTTTATGCAGAGGAAATTTTCAACAACAGTGTTCATGGGGAAGGACATTAATCAGGAGAGAGAAGTGGGCCTTGTGCTTAATAATGTTTGCATAATAGCTACCCTTGGGTGTATTGCTTGACTTAAAATAAATATTCATGCTTTCTATCTCCAGTGCAATTGGAAATTATTCGTGGTTATGATTCTGTTATATGATCTTCTACCTGCTCATTAGGCTTTAAGCTGGGAGGCTGTTGGAAATGAAGACATAAATCACAATGCTTGTGATGAGTCTGGGGTAGAAACTGAAGGGGGCTATAATGTGGGCAATCTGGAGAACAGGACCTGAGAGCAGGTTTCTAGGAGGGGAGGAGCAGAGTCATACTGGCATGCTTAAGAACATTCATGTACTTTTAACTCTTCAGTAGCGTCTCATCCCCTGAGATAAAGTCCAACTGCCTTCTCCGGACATAAATGGTGCTCACTGGAGTGGTCCCTGTGACTGTGGCGCATTGCCTGAGACCACTCTCCACCTCAGATGTGCTCACAGGCAGCTCTTTGCAGGTTCCCTCAGACACCATGACTTGTAACTTCCAGGTCTTTGTTCATATCCTACCTTTATTTTGCAAGAATTGTCCAAACCTCCTTTGCTAATTACTTCTACTTATCATGGAAGAGTTGGCTTAAGCTTTACTTCATCTAAGAAACTCTTTTTGAACTCCAAAGTTAGCCAATAAATCCCTTCCCCCCGGCTTCCCCTTCCTTCTTTCCTTCCTTCCTTCCTTCCTTCCTTCCTTCCTTCCTTCCTTCCTTCCTTCTTTCCTCCCTCCCTTCTTCCCTCCCTACCCCCCTTTCCTTCCTCCCCCCTCCCTTTCTTCCATCCTTTCTTCCTTCCGTTCACTTTTTACTTAAATAGACTTGGTCCTGGGAATTCCTTCATTGTCTTGATTTATTACTTACACCAAATTTTATTAGACAAGTGCTTTAAGTTAATGAATTCATTTTTGTTTTCTCTCTCCTTTATTACTTTTTCCCTCTATTTCTCTCTTTTTTTTTCTTTTAATTTCTGGGAAAGGTTTTAATATGATCTTGAAAACCATAGGCTGTATACTGCTTTGAACAAGTGTGTGTGAGTTTCAGCTCTGCATTAACTGCCCGCTCAGGCAATTTCCCTTACCTCAATTCTTTCCTAATATGGGTAATCTACTTCAGTGAAGAGAGCATCCTGTAGCATAGAAGTCCAAGCTGATTTGTTTTCTTATACTTGCAATCACTAATATTTTCTTCGGCCTCTCCCTCCCTGCCTCTGAGGTAGGCTTTACATCTTGGAGTTACACAGCGTCCCTTTGGCCTCTTCAGCTGAGCCTTCACCTGATGGGCACTGTATTAACAGAGCTATGTCTGCTTGACTCCACACACCAATTTTACCCTGTTGCTAGGCTGTTTTCTGAAGTGTTTGCATGCCATTTTCATGTATAGTCTCAAAAGTCCTGAAAGCTACCCCTCTGGTAATATTACATATCTATTTATAAAGCTTTTTTGTTTGTTTGTTTTATCCCTACTACAGAGAGATGAGCAGGACAGCTGTTAAACTTATCTAGTAAATTACAGATATTAGAATTAAGACTCCAATCCAGTGCCTTTTCCACAACACTATAAGCTTTATAACCTATAGAGACTATTTTCTTCTATTTTCTATGCGCCTCTAGTAGACCTTGCATTGTGAGCTCACAGAGGGCACTAGATAGAGACCTGGACTGGACACAGGGACCTGCATGATGGAGATGACTGGACGACCACTAGCTCTGTGCCCCAAGAGAGTCACTTTACTCTGAACCCCAGTGTCCATCCATAATATGAAGAATGAGACACGTTTTCTTAGGTTCTTTTGACCTAATATTTTATTAACTCCTCTTGTCTTATTTTTATCTCTCTCCTTTTCTCCTTTCTCTTTGCCATCTTTTCAGCCCGTCCAACAACTACCTGTTGTGCATTGAGATGTACACAGCATTGTGCATGTGCCTTAGGGAGATGGAATGAGTATGTTGCTTACAGCTTGTTATGGAAACATTCTTCCCTCTCTTTCCTGTTCCCCCCTTTTCCTCTATTCTTTCTTCTTCCTTCTTCCTCCATGTTCAAGCAGCCCTCATCATTTCCGTGGGTTTTCAAGGCTTCTGCTTTGATCAGCGGGAAGGCACTGGGTCATGGGCCAGTGAATGAGCTTAACATGCCTCTGGTCCTTTGCCTCTGGTCCCTCAGGGCTCGTCAATGCTCCGTGTGAAAGTTTGGAGGGCTTTGCTCAGGGACTGTCAAAGGCTCCGTGTACTTTGGTGCATGATACTGACTTGTTGGCTAACCCTATAATGGGAGACGACTCAAACAAGAACAATAAATTGACACTTTGAAAAATACATTATTTTCTTCTAATTTTTGTGACATTAAAGCCTAAAATAATCTATCTTTGGTTTAGTTTTAGGTATTTATATTTCGAAAGCCACCATTTCCAACCTATTGCATATAATCCCCCTAGAAACCATAATTACCCTTAGACATAGGTATATTCTGTTCCTCTTTTATCAGTCATATTTTCTCATTCCTATTCTACACCCCACATGACATGCACATACTCTTCTCTTTTTCCTCCAGGGACAATTAGTTTAGGTTAACCAAGACTTTTAGAATTCTTTCTGTAAGAGTCACCATTGAATTAGATGACTATTTTCTTCAAAACATAATTAAAATATATGTGGTTCCTCTACACTCTTTCTAGTCCCCTTTATTTCCATAGCAATGGGTATTTATTTATCATTACAAAACACACCAACAAATACTGGTGATTTTTTGAACCCCAAGAGGACAGAGTGGAAGGAAATGGAAAGAAGGGAACAAAAACCAATGATGATTAGGCATCAGTGGATGAGTTAGAAATGTTTATATGATTTAGTTGATACCTTCAGGATTCCTAGAAAATTTAGACTTGCTGTTTTATAGATGTGGAAACTGAGGTTCAGAGGGGTTAAATGGTTCACTCAGTGTTCCACAGCTTGTGTCAGAGTTAAGATCTGAACCCAATCTGTGTGACTCCAAATTTCATGTTCTCTTTGTTGTACCAGGGCCAGAGGGGACTCTGGTAGGCTCTAGAATTATACAGGGATTGGGGCCCAGGTAGGGAAAGGCTGCAAAGAAGACCTTAGTCTATTCCAAGATTCAACCTTCGGCATGATTCTCCTTCCCTGGTCCCTGCCTCCACTGTAGACTATGTATGCAAAATATGGATCCAGGCCTTTTTAGTATTTTAAGGAGAGGGTCTTCTACTAATGAGACATCTCTCTTTTGTCTTTCACAGCAATTTTGCAGGCAGTAATAACTGGTGATCTTATGAAGGTAAGCCATCTTCCTACCAAATTTTTTGTTGGTTTTTAAGAACTTTAAGTCAACATCATTTTACACCAAACTTTCATGAGCCCATATGTCATTTATCAGACCCCCCTGCCTGTGCTGGCTGAGTAGAAAGAGGAAGGATGCTTTTTCTTTTTTTTTCTTTTTTTTTTTTGAGAATTAAACAGAGAGGATTAGGGGAGTCCTCCCAGCATCTCCATGCTTCCTAACAGCAAAAGGTTTCTGTAAGATAACCATGCAATTTGCCTTCAATAGTAAAAATGGACTGCATGTCCCCAGGACACAGCGCTCACAGTGCCCAGAATTCCTCTTCTCTGAAAGCTGATATTGGAAGCTTAAAGATTTCTTTTTAGACAGGTCTTGAAATAAATGCAAGTGTAAGAATTATCTGGTCAACAACCAGAAATACATTCCTCAGGCCAGAGCCTATGTCTTCCAACATTATTAAAGTTTTGTATTTTGAGAATCATGGTAAACCAAAACAGTTTAATTTGTTCTTTTGCTTTCTGGTGAATTTTAATTCAGAGGGAAGGAAGTGTCCACCACTGCCTCTAGAGTGAATGCCAATTCTGAAGTCAGACCGCCAGGGTTCAGATCTCGGCCCGACATTCCCTATATGCATGATTTTGAACAACTGTTTATCTTTGTACCTCACTTTCATCATCTCTAAAATGGAATCATAGCATTGCCTCTCTCTTCACTTTGTGAGGATCAAATGTAATAAAACAAGTACAGCTCTTGACTATTCCTATTACATAGAAAGGACTCTAAAGTGTTGGCTATTTTATTAGCGTAGGGTTAGTCTGTGTATTTTTAAGAGCTAGACATAGTAGAAATGTAAATATTTGTTATAAAGTATAATACAGTTTATAACGTCTAAAAGCTATAGTTGGTCCCATATCCTTTTCAGGCCTTGGGACTTATGACTGCCCATCTATCCTTGTAAAGCCCACACTGCCATTGATCGGCTGTGTAATATGGGCAGCTTCCTAAGGGCCCAGGCTATGCCTTCCTCACCAGTCTGTGGAGGATGGTGCCATTGCAGATCCAGAAACCAAAAGCCTTATAGAAAGCTGAGAAGCACTGCCATTGAAACACAGTTTCTTCTGAGGCACAACTGTCGAATAAACCGAGACCCTCTGTGCTCCATTTATTTTTTAAAATAGGTTTTTATTGATTTTAGAGAAAGAGGAAGGGAGAAGGATAGAAATATCAATGAGAGAGAATGATCGTCTGCCTGCTGCACGCCCCCCTACTGGGGATCAAGCGCGCACCCGGAGCACGTGTCCTGACAGGGAATCAAACCTTGACCTCCTGGTTCATAGATCGATGCTTCAACCACTGAGCTATAACAGCCTGGCCCTCTGCTCCATTTTTAACAGGTCACTAGCAGAAAACAGTTGGTGAGACAGTTTCAAGCATCTTGATAAACAGTCATCTTTCAACATGTAATCCTGGAAATGGTGCATTTGAAACCTTTTCATTTTATTTTGTACATGATTTTAGTCTAGGCAATGAATTTTCCAGCTCTGTGGGTATATCGCCACAATATATTGTACTTAATAGAGAATTATTTGAGATATAGGAAATAACTATATTCAGTCGGTTGTCTTATTACATTCTCTATTCCAATTATTCCCAAAATGGCTAAGAAAGAATGCAAGAATACCTTGTTTACTGAGAGATAAAATACAGGGGAGTTAGGTGTGTTTTTTTTTTTACTCTTTTCTTTTTCTTTCTTACTTTTTTTCTAGTATTTTTCTTCTCCCATTTTTTCTTCTCCATTTTCTTTCATTTTTCTATTCCAATTAGAAAGCAAAATAAATATTAAATATTAAACTGGCTGTGTGTGTGTGTGTGTGTGTGTGTGTGTGAGAGAGAGAGAGAGAGAGAGAGAGAGAATGCACAAATCAGCAGAAAACAAAAGACCCCAGGAGCCATCCCAGTGGGAAAGCTGTCTTGAGCAGCTGGGCTGCATGAGATGCCCACAGACTAACTTACTGCTCAATGTCTAAAAACACCACAGAAAGGCAGAATCAAGGCAGCTGATGGATTGGGTCTGTGCTACTCGGTTGAGCCGAATCCCTTGTGGACCTGTTCCAGGGAAGGGACTGTCACTGTGAGACAATGCAGTGAAACAGAACAGGATTCTCTTAGTTTTCTCTTAACCGGAAAACTATTAGCTACTTCTTCCTACTGCCCTCGTGTAGGGTGAAAGTTCCTGATTTCCATTCAACTACTCTTTTTTGAATCTATTTCCTAGGAAGTCTTCCATCCCCCACTTCATGCTTTCCTGGTGCCCCATGGTAGCCCATCATGGTCCTCCCCATTCCGGTATAATTCTTTCCACATCTGTCTCTCCCATGGACTGTGAGGTCTTTGAGGCCAGTGGCTGTGTTGTTTTCATCTGCTTCCCTGGCATCTGACACATGGCAGTGCTGTGGCTGCATTTGAGTAGAAGCTTGAACTTTGAACCATGAACTTTGAACATTTTTTTATAATGTGCCATCTAACTTCTTGGTGGTAGACACATTCCTTTTGCTTATTGCCTGCTGGGTTATTTGTTTGGCATTTCTCCTAAAACTACATTTTAGAAGCTCCAAAAGGCTCTTCTTATCCTGATATATCATAGTTTAGAGAATAGGGACCCATTTACACTTTCTATAATTTTTAATATTTCATAAACTTAGACTGTATCATTAGCTACCTTATTTTCAAGATGCAAAATCTGTTTTTTCCCCTAGCCTGTTTCATATTTTAGGTATTTTGAGTTTCTACTACTGTTTTCTCTGAATCTGTTTCTCATCCTGCAGATCACCTCTAGCCTTGTTGAGTAGGTGTTGGGTGATTAACAGAATGCATACCGGCTGGGCTGCAGACCCGGATGAAGAAGGGAGCTATACCTGTGTGTGCGTGTGTGTATGCTGTGTGCTCGCGTGCAGTGATCTCTCACAGGGAAATGGAAAGAAGCTTCTATGGAGCTAGGTTTATAAGAGATTAAAGGAAAGGAGTTACCTACCAGACACCACACTAATCCTGCCTATAATTATTCTTTCGCTCAAGAAAAAGCTGAGCCAAAGTAGGAAAACTTATTCTCTTCTCCACCCTCCACTCCCTTGGAACAGGCACCAGTGCCCAGACAAGAAAAAGAAAGAAAGAAAAAACCACACAGGAAAATAAATAAGTGATTCGGTATATTTCAGTTTTCTTAGGATGTTCAACACCCATATGCCCTCTCAGGAGTTAGTGAGACACTGGCCATCTATTTGAGTTAGTGAGACACTGGCCATCTATGAGTTAGTGAGACACTGGCCATCTATGAGTTAGTGAGACACTGGCCATCTATTTGAGTTATCACACAATCGAGGAAGATTACTTCATCGCTCTGACATTTCTGTGTCCCCTGAGGCTAGAAACATTTGTGGTTTGCTGCATTGTTCTTATTTTATCACCAGTGAGCTGTTTCTCTTGTTCCGGCCTCGTTCTGAGCTTCTTTTTATCTGTCTCTTTTTCAGCTAATAGAAAGCTATAAAAATGGAGGCAGTCTGCTAATTCAGGGACCAGACCACTGTTCACTCCTTCACCACGCAGCTAAAACCGGCAACGGGGAAATTGTGAAATATATCCTTGATCACGGTGAGTAGGCACAAGATCACTTACCCAGCAAACAGACTGACTTAGTAAGTTGACTTCCACCCAGGCCAGCTTCAGAATGGTGGAGATGCTCTCCAACTTCTAGCTGACTCTCTGATTATTTGAGACAGCGGGATTGTAGTAGACCACTCAGCCACGGGGTACCCTTAACCAGTTAATGAGTAGAAATTATTTTCATATCAAGATCATTACAGGGTACTTGGGGGCGTATTCATTAAAAAAATAATGTACAAAAACCAATGCAGCCTGGATAATATGCTTTATTGTTTGGGGAAGATCTTTTATGTTTTGGGAAGTTAACTGGTTGGGACAAGTATCTAATCTATATTTGTAGCCAATCATTCTCAGGATTAATGAGAGTATTTATCCTGTCTTTCTAGTCTTTTATTTATTTTTTGCTCTTTGAATCTCATCTTTTCAACTCAAGTCACACTTCATTCTCTCGGAAACGTCTAGTAGCCTCACGTCCTCTGCAGCAGGACTTGCTCACCTCCCGGGCAGCTTCCTCCTGCATCTCTAATTTGATGTTATATCATTTGCTGGAAGCAGCTTGCAGTTTTTAGCATCTTCCTCTAAAAGTCCTTCATAGGCATACACACATGTGCTGAATACCACATCTTGACCATTCGTAACAGCTTTCCTTGTTTATAGTGTTTCTAGGATGAAGAATAGGAATAAGGGGCAGGGGGGGAGATCTCCTGTGTTTTCACAGGAGAGAGTGGAATAGTCTTTAGCTCTGAGAGATCCTGGAGGCTTTGCTGTGAGCCCTACAGTGAGCCTGTGGCCAACCCGCTTTGCATCCAAATTTGGGCTGTAAATAGAAAGCATAGTAGATATTTACACTCGTTCCTGCTCTTCTTTTAATTCAATTTAGCAAACATCTTATTTCATTCATTCATTCATTCATTCATTCAATCATTCAACAAATATTTGCGGAGTGCCTAGTAAGAACTACATGTTGTAGACCAGAACACACATACAAATAAAATAGTCACTGTTTTCAAGCAATTGCAAGCTAAAGAAAAAAAATATCATCATCATAGGCATAATTAAATTTAAAACAGTTGCATAGATGTTTTAAGTCATATTGCAAAGCTACAAATAGAAAACACAGTTACCATTATCAAGCACATTTTTATGCCAGATGCTTATACTAAATGCATCATCGAATCTTTACAAAGGTCTTGTAAGGTTGCCATCTTGTTTTTGTTTTTGTTTTCCATTTTCTTTCTTTTTTTAATATAAATTTCAGAGAGAAAGGGAAAGGGGGAGAGAAATAGAAACATCATTGATGAGAGAAAATCATCCATAGGCCGCCAGAGCCCAGACCTGGAATCAAACTGTGACCTCCTGGTTCATAGATCAACACAACCTCTAAGCCATGCAGGCTTGGCTGTAGTTGCTGTCTTCTTGATCATTCTCAATCCTTTCTTTCTAGTTTGCCCTTTACCCGATGAGACTGAGTGCTTGTTCGCATCCTTAGGCTACTCCATACTTACGTGCCCTCTCTGGAGTTAGGTGAGCCACTGATACCTAGTTGAGTGATAACACAGGTTAGGAACCCTCTCTCCCTCTCTCTTGCTTTACCTCTCCTGAAGAATTAGCACTTCCCCTACTTCCAGATTCTTCTCTGTATCCATTACCTGTGGGTGTCTCCCTGGGTCTCTCACTCACAAGGCTGTAACCAGCTACAATTTTGACTGAATCTGTACAGAAGAGAGAGACCCTGACACATGTTTGGGGCTCTCCGTTGGGGTGACTGGAATGGCCAGGACACCTGAGTCTTTCTCTGTACCTGGTTTTTCATCTCAGGCTTCTTCACAGCATGATGGTCCTAGGGTTTCAGGAGGAGAGAATAAAAGCTTCCGGACACCTTGAGGCTGGACTGGAAAGTTCTGTATCCTCTGCAGCATTCTGTTAGTCAAAACAAGTCACAGAGCTTGTCCCGACAAAGGGAGGGGGGAATAGAGCCCACTGCTTGATGGAAGGAGCTACAAATCAATTGTGTCAGAATTTAATCTACCACCCTCCCCTACTCTCCATCTTCTTCACCTGGAAATGACCCTACCTTCTCAATATCCTGAACTACTGATCTACCTGAAATCCTTGGAGCTCAGCTTTTATAGTCCCCTTGGTTCTGGGTCCTAAGGCTGCTTAGCAATAACAGTTCTTTAACATCACAAGTTCTTAAACAAGTTTCTCCCCTTTTTAGCATAGGTATGTCCCATGCAATATTTGATACATACACTAAAAACAAACGAAAACCCTCTCCTCAGTTGAGTCTTTTCAGGGGCATGTCAGATGAGGCTTGAGATGGTATTTCTCTAATACTCTTCCCATTGTAGCCCACACTCATAGGGGTTGGAGTTCCTAAGCCCAATGAGAAATAGGTACACACATGCTTTGCCTGGCATGAAGTCCAGCTAGCATGTCAGTCTCAGTGCTTTGACCAAAGCCTGACATTAGATACTTAGGGAGTTTCTCTTCCACCTCCAGTATCTGCTGCAAAGATTGTATCACAGGATGCAGCTCTCTATCAAAACTGAAGGACACCAAGGAATTTATTAATTCCTTCGGGGAGAGTGCTTATTTTTCCAGTTCTCTTGGTTAGATTTTGTAAACAAGTTGTTTTAATAGTGATGCTCATGAGAAAAAACTTCAGTTTCCTGTAATCACCCCAATGTCACTCATAGGCAAACAGTTCCCATGGTCACATCTTATACCCTCCCTGCTTCACCAGGATCTCTGATGGACCTGAGAGAAAGACGGTGGAGATAGTGAAGCAAATCCATTCCTTCTGTTTGAAAATAAAATATTATTATGCTTTACAGTCCAAGGATCACTGCCTTTTTGATAAATGGCAATTTTTCAACTTTTAGCACTATAGCCAAGTAGTGGGAACTGTATCACACTTGATTTTAGTATTCATCGACCTGATAGGCATTGCCAGCTTCATGCTTAACTTCAGTCTGTTTATTTAGGAGTATGGATGTAAAAATCTTTGGACATAATCAGCCTAATTCACCAGGTTCCTTAACAGCTACGCACTTCAGCTCGTCTATTTTTATTGTTGTTTGTTTTAATATTTTTAGTTACTGATACAATTTGTATTAACCTGTGTATTCGGGGAAAATCATCTTTGCAGAACGACTCATCTATGATAAATGATAGAAACCCCTTTAAATTATACTGCTCCTGAAGTCAGAGATAAGTACATGGAAAGCCTGGCCCTTTCTGTGCTCTATAGATAGGTCTGAGCAGTTTGAATTCACATAAACTTCTTTTAAAAAGCAAAGAAAAATTTTACACTGTGCTAAAGATCAAGAGGAACACTCCTCCTAGTCTTGAAGCCTGAATCTCTCTTAAAGTTTTAGTGGTTTTTTTGTTTTTAATTTGGGTCAAGTCTTTCCTGTGGCTTCATATGAGTTTTAAATCCTAAAAACTGTTTTGTTTTGTTTTTAAAAAAAACCTGACCATAAAGATGCCTTTAATGACAAGGCTTCTGAGAAACCATGGGCCCTTTCTTGTCAAGGCACAGGATGGAAATTGTATGTGGCCTGTTTGCTTACTTGTCCTTTCTCTCCCCTCTGCTGTGTCTTCTTCATTGGATATTTATGGTGAGCCGTGGGGTCCCCCATCAGGAGGACAGCCCCTGAACAGGATTCCAGGGAGATTATGCTCCCAGCCACCACATTCAGCAATGTATTTCTCTTCTAAGGACTCTTTTTAAACCGGGCTGGGGCCTGGGGGCATGTGATGTGTGCTATGTTCTGAAAAACCACAGGAGGCTTGAATTTTTTCCACATGCATCTTCTTTGGGACTTCTTGTCTCAAATTCACAACATGCTGCTTTCCTTTATGAAAAACTGGAATTTGGGCATTTGGAGGGTTGAAAAGAGGAGGAGGAAGGGACAGGGTGGGGAGAGGAAGATGCAGAGGGATTCCAGCTGAGAATCCCCCCAGCGGTTCCTGCTTTTCAACTCCTTTCAACCATCTTTTTAACCCGCTCCCTCCTCCCTGGTTTTACCCTGGAAAGGACTTTTGTGTGGTTTGTCTTTTACCACCCTGCACATGTTTGCTCTTTTGTGTGTTTCTTTCTCCCCACTCCCACCCTGTTGCCCCCTACCGTGTTTCCTGATAGAAATCTCACTCATGCATTTCTTTTTTGATTTCAATGGCTTATTTTGTCTTGCCTCTGTTTCTGTCTTCAGTCTTTCTTTTCTTTTTTTTACCCCCCTTTTTCTGCCTCTGGTTCCCCGAGAGAAACGACCACCATCCTGCTGGGACAGGATGACGGTGCTGTTAGAGTTCCCAGTGCCAGCTCTCCCCAAATCGGCGCAGCTTTTGTCCTGGGCCACTGGAGGATTTGGAATGGTCTGCTGGCAGCGTCAGGGAGACTAATGGGAAATGAGGTCCTAACAGAGAGAGGCCGTGGGGAGGTGGAAGGAATAGCAAAGGGGATTTGGATGCCTTGGTGTGGGAAGCAAATTAAAAGATGCACGTGACAGACACATCATATATAATAAAGTGCAATGTGGATAAAGTTGCATCCCTAAGAACCGGGGTATGCAATGGAAGAGCCTATGGGGTGGACACTGGGCAGCGGGCCTGCATTTTGGAAGGTTTGACTACTCATCACGCAGTTTACATTCTTGTGTTGGGAGATCTGCAAGTTTTCCTTCCTTTCCTATTCCCTGGCCTTCACCCGCAAAAACACTGATATGGCTATCCCCATATTTTTCTTTCTCTTATTTTTCAGACCATTTCCCATAAAGCACAGTCTCTTGAATTCATGTTCCATTTACGGATCTTTCTCTGAGAAGAAACAAGAATTTGGTTAGGTTCCACATTAATTTTAAAATATCATTTATTCATTCATTCACTTGAAAAATTAATTCTCTCTTCCCCACTCTTGAGAAAAAAATGTTATAGTAACAATCACTGCTAATCTTTATTATTCTAAACGAGAGGCCTGGTTTATGAAAATCCATGCACTTACAGGGGAGGGGACGTCCCTCAGCCTGGCCTACACCCTCTCGCAGTCCAGGAGCCCTCGGGGGATGTCCAACTGACAGCTTAGGCCTGCTCCCCCGGGGCCAATCGCTGCTGCTGGTGCTGGTGGTGGCCTCCCTCCACCACTGCCGCCGCCCCCCGCCCCCTGATTGCCGTCCCCTCCCTCTGCCCACTGGCATCCGCCTTGGCTGGCGTGGCGCTGCCCGCTCACCAGCCCTGCCCCCTGCCGACCGATCCTTCTGCCGTTCGGTTGACTTGCGAATTAGGTTTTTATTATATAGGATGCTTTATATGTATGAACACATTGCATTCTTACAATAGCCCTACACAGCTTGCTCTCATCTCTATTTGACAGGTGGTAAAAACTGAAGCATAGTGAAATTTGGTTAGTTGTCAAAACTCACACATAATATAAGATGTGGTCTCTGCCCTCCATGTTCCTAAGACCCAGCAAAGGGCAGTGAAACATGGACAAACAACCACAATGCTGAGTTGTTTGACATGAGTGTCCTGTGCAGGGTACCAGTGATAACTGGTGCAGGGCTGTGGAAGGGCAGTGATTGCCTCCCTCTCAAAACTTGATGGGGACATTTCCCCCATATCCCTTCAATGGGGTTAAGAGTTGTTTCTGGTGCAGATCAGCTGTGGGATGGAGTGTGCGCATTGTAGTAAGCCCTGGGAGGGACAGAGAGCCAAGGTTCCCTTCTATATCCAGGGAACAATTGTGAGCTCTTTACTGACAATGTAATGTTATTCCTCCAAATTCCTGAGGGGAGACGGCATGGTATCCACGGTCAGAACATATGTTCACATAAAATGCAAAAGAAGCCCACACCCATAGGCTCCCCTTTGGTATCTATTATTTTCTCTTTCTCCTGTTCTTTCCCTTATTAGTGAGACTCAAATTAACTTTCCAAAAATCACAGATGCTCTTATCATCTACTTTTTTTCAGGAGAATTTTTGTGGTCTGTTTAGATGATTTTTGTTTCTCTGGGAAGGTGTGTTGATGGGAGAAGTAGGAAGGTTTGGGTTAAGTTCATTATTCCAGAGAAATTCCCAAAACCTCTAACTGGAGTTTCTTTAGATATTGATAAAGAACAAATATATCTTGTTTGAGCATCGGTGCCTCTTTCTTGCACCTCCATCAGCCACAGAAGATGAGAGGAGAAAGGGAAAATGACAAGCAGCCTCAGGCAAACTTCCTTAGAATGGGCTGACCCTCTGGGCTGGCTGCATGTATGGCGACTCTTGTCAGACTGTGAGGAACAAGGTCCTTTCCTGTCCTTGTCCGCACTTGCAGGGTGCCAAATAGTTGCAGTTTTAGCGCAGATGAAACTGCTCCAGGGTCCTGTCGCTTGCATGGAGACTGGGACCCTGGAGGCCACGGACCCGTCATAGTCTCAGCTCTGAGTGCTGAATAAGGAGGGAAATGGGCAAAGCCTAAGTATGCAATTCGCAGCAATGATGGGCACACACTGCTACTGAGGCTGGCTGGCTTGTGTTCACAGGGGTCCTTTAAAAATAGATGGCTTGAGAAGTTTGCTGAAGGTGACAGGGGTTCTTTAAAAGCACACCCCCTTAGAACACTGCTCCTGACCTCGTGGAAAGTGTCCTGTTGGCAATTGAATAGGTCTGGGGTCCTTGGTTCTCAGGACATATAATTCTAGTCCACTGGTGGCTCTATATACTAATATAAGTAGGAGTGAGGTGGCCCTTTTATATAGCTTTCCTTCACTGACGTTCCAGCATCTTGACGTGGTGTGACCTGCTGTGTCATGTCAGAGGATAGGACACAAACTTTAGGCCATGTGTGTAGTGTGCCAGCTACTGTCTTAAACACATAACTTTTATTAACTTCTGAAACCTCACTGCACTCCTGTGAAATACATATTATTATCAGTCTTTCTTTACATGTGAGAAATAAAATGAAAGTGCCCAAGATCTAAGTGGCAGTTAAAGCTGGAATTGTAAACCTTTGATCCTGACCACTGCACTCCGCTGCTTTGCACTTCTTTGGTGGGGAATGTGGGAGGGTCATCTTTCACCTTTCCTTAGAACCACAGGACTGAGGAACAGAAATGAATGAGTTAAATCTTTGTTGAATCCTTAATGTAGGGTAGATCCTCAAGGAATCTTAAAAGTAAAAGTATTCTTATATTCAAGGGATTTAGAAGAAAGGATTTCAGGGGACAAGGCATACAACAAAAAATCAAATACATGGTACAAGGGTAGACCCAAGTAAGCTTTACGAGAGTTCAGAAAAGGGATAGATTCCTTCTGCCAAAGGTGGTCTTTTCAGAGGCCTTGTCAGAGACGAGGCTTTACAAACATTTACGATGTAGGTCTGAGGCTAGAAAAGGAAGACTTCTCAATAGGGACAGGGAAGGGAACAAGCCCTGAGAAACATGTGGGTGATGGAGAAGTGACCACTTTGGAACATTGGGAACAAATGGAGGAAAGGTAGTTCCAAGTGTACACTGTGAACTTCGTTTAAATACTTGGACGTAACTAATAAATATGACAGATCGAAAACCTGGAAATCTAAATAACGTAAGAGCTTTCTAGTCTTCTTCGTAACCGTTTCTTCACGCTAATTATATTCCAGGCAGAGACCTATGAGGAGGCCTGTTTGTGGAATAGGACACATAGGGAGACAAACAGGACAGACGTGGTGTCGGAAGGTTTGCCTGGCCTTGACGACCAATGGATGTGAAAGAGAGGAAGCCAAGATGATGACTTAGCTCTTGGGTAACCAGGAGGATTGTGAAAGTCCCATCACACCTGTCATCTTCTCCTTGCCCAATGACCTTCTTGGTTAGAAAGTCCTAACCTCCTCTTCTCCTTCTTCTGATGAGGTGGCAAGTAATCACATAAGTAAATTTTCAATGATAACCATATCCAACAACACAGAGAGCAAATCAACAGGATCACATTTCTAAGGACTAAAATGCTCAACACCTAGAACCGTGTTTGCCACTTTCAAGTACATTTGATTCATTCATTCAACCAAACATTTAGGCATCTGCTTGGCACCAGGCTCTATGCCAGTCACAAGGCCACCAACTCAAGGGGCTTATGAGAATCTAGTTGTGAAGAGAGAAATCAGCAAGTGATTTTAATACGGTTTAAATGTTATATATCCACACTTGTCTGGGACAGTCTCAATGGGATACATTATATTAATTTCCCAATTATAGGACACAAAGGAAGGGAGAACATTTGGTGCAGTATTTGGAGTGGGGTCATAGTTGGCGTCATGGAGGAAATGGTCCCAGCAGGCTGAATAGGGTAAGGGATTTAGGGAGGGCTGGGGAGGAAGGCAGTGGTGCTGCAAGTGGGAAGGTGGGCATTCCAACCAGTGTGTGCAGACTGAATGAATTCATTAGTGAACATACAAAACATTGCTAATGTGCAAACTCATAGAACATATCAGTTCATAATGAAGCTTCTATCATTTGATATTGATGCAGAACATTTCTTCCAGGTGTTGGGAGGGAAATTTTGTGAAAAATAGAGTTTCCCCCTGTTTCTAAAATAAGGCTATTGGGCCGCATGGTATCTATTGTCTCTTGTCGCTTTACTGTTATATTGCACAAGAGCCCATCCCAAACTACCTGCCACTGGAGAATGAGAAACAATCTTCAAAGCTCAGCTGATTGTCCCCTTTCTCCCAAGGGAGCCACTTAATTATTTCTCACTTAGTCTATTCCAGTTGATTTTGTTTCTTCGACTTAATTGAAAGCTTCCGGAAGGAAGGCGGAGGCCATGCCCCTCTTTTGTGGCTCCCATTCTGCACATCTCAGCTGGCGGTTGGGAGACTGGTGGGAGGAGGAGGCCCCATTATCCCTCTCACAAGTGCTCTTCCTTATGCAGCTTTCCAAGGCATTTTAATTGTGACTATAGATTTTCTTATTAATAGTTTTTTTAAACTTATGCTTGATGGGCGTGTCTTGATTTCCTCCTGTTTAGGACCTTCCGAGTTATTGGATATGGCAGACAGCGAAACGTGAGTCTCGCTTTTATTACATAGTCCAGATTATTCTTCAGAACGTATCTAGGAGAAAAATGCCATGTCTAGAGCATACAGTAGATAATTTTCATGTCAGTGATAAAACATCCACTTTCTATTGTAGTTATAACTGTGCGGGGCTAATCTTCTAAATCAAGAATAAAAGTCACAATAAAAGTTGATGGCAGGTATCATAATGGTTGCACCCTCAGTCATTGAGATTCATCATTTAGAGGTTCCTACAAGCAGTGTACTTCTACACTGGTGCTGAGAAGTCTAAAAAATACATTTACCTTTTTTTTTAACTCTTTGTTAACTGGGGTTTCTGAGAAAATTAAGCCCTAATGCTCTCTTGCATGTAATGAAATTTCTTTGCCAAGTCTAGAATGGAACAATGCCTATAATACAGCCACTGGAGAACTGAGAATATGGTAACTCCAATCATTTTCATGTTCTGAAGTTCAGATGAAGATCTGGGATGATCCCCAAACTGATAATTTTTTCTTTCAACCTCCCCCCGCCCCATCTCTAGGCTAGCAAAATAGCTACTATTTTCCAAACAGGAACAAAGAAAGGCTAAGCATCTAACCCTGAAAACCATATAGAAGCACTAGAGAACTCCAAAGAAATTCAAAAGGAGATAAGGAATGGGTCAGGCTGGAGTGGGATGGGGAAGGGAGCGGAAGTGGGGATGGTGGAGGAAAAACAGACATAAATAGAATGAAAGACGGGGGTGGGGAGGAGTAGCCATGAGTTAGTTACCCGTCACTGAAGAAATTGCCCATTGCTATGCGAGCTTGTCCACATACTGCACACCCCATAGGACAGGCGCCACTGACCCCAGTTCCCTGCTCTAAGGTCTGCATTTGATTTTCCACGAAACACTTTAACATTAAGTATCTTTTCAGTCTTGGATTCCAAATAGGAAAATCCTTCTCCTTTTCTGACTATTAATGGAGCAGAAATAACCACTTTCTCATGCCCACTTCCCACAGTGACTGGCTGGCTGGTCTTGGGCCTGCTGTCGACTGGGGAAAGCTCTAGTTCTGAGCTCTCTCCCCAAGTCTCTCTGTGCCTCCCAGATCCCCTGTGGCTGCCCCTCCCCTCCCACCTGCCCCTGGAGTTGAATCCAGTAGGTAGGCCAGAGTGTTAGCCTGGTCCCTTGCAGTTGAGTTCCCAGGAGTTATTCCTGTGATGGGTCTGAGGGGCGCTGGTTCCCCATCTCTGTTCCCTCTGAGCTTCATCTAGCATCCCTCACACTCAGCGTATCCATACAGAGTGTCGTTCCCAGTGTTCAGATACAGCCACACACATCAGTCTAACAGTGCCATGGAGTCCTGCTTAAATGAAACATTAGTAGTTGACAACAAAATCGCTCGGCCGAATTAACCAACACTGTTTTAAAAAGAGGCTGGAGTCAGATATTGTGGTTACGGGATGACTAACTCAAGCACTTTAGGCTCCCCTCCCCCACACCCCCCAAATGGGCCCTGCCTGCAGCCAGGTCTCAGCCTCAGACAGAGAAAGAACATCAGCAGCAGGGGTAGGATGAAACCACCCCCTCCCAGCAGCCTCCACCCCCACCCCGGCCCCCAGCCCCTTTATGGGTGGTTTCCATTTCATCTTTGATTTAGGGGTGAGACTGCACTGCACAAGGCTGCCTGCCAGCGGAACCGGGCCGTGTGCCAGCTTCTGGTGGACGCAGGAGCATCTCTGAGAAAGACGGACTCCAAGGTAACTTGATGAGTGAGTGCAAACATCCACCCACTGGGCAACATCGCAGGCACTGTGGCCTTCACTTATGCCCACAGCAGAGGCATCCTTTCTGTGCCTATGGAAATGCCGGGGGGCTTTGGAAAAAGGAGGAAAAAATAAAGTGCTTCATTTAGAGAAACTGCAGTTTAAATGTATAAGCACAAAGGGAGGGTGTGTGCTCGCCTATGGGGCTTTGGAAACCTCTGAAGGACGGGCTGGCCTTGGGATTTGGGGTTCTCCTCCTGCCGAATGCCAGCAGCCAGGCTGCAGAGAGGTGAGATCCAAAGCCCTGGGAGGGGGGTCAGGCTTATGTTCACAGACATTGACCTAGCCTTGGAGAAGACCCCTTGGGATTTCTCCTTCATCTGCTTAATCCAGTGTAGCTCAAAATCTGTGATTTATGTGGCCCCATTTTGGGGTGCCAAAGTGATTTCCAGTCACTTCCAAGATGGGAGGTCAGGCTGCACCATGAGTCATTCCAAGTTACAGAGAGCAGTCAAGGAAAGGGCTGAGAGCCGGCGTGAAGGAGGAGGTAGAGCTGAGTGGCATTGACCTACAAATACAGCCTGTGAGAGAGCAGAGTTAATACCAATCAACCCCGTAGAGGAGCTTGGTCAGCTCTGAGAATTTTCAAGCACCCTGGGGAGGCTCCAAGGAAAGACAAGCCACTTAACACAGAGGCTGGCAGAGAAGAATTTGAATATATGTAGATGAGGACAAACAAAAGCTGGCGGGAGACCTGGCCCCTGAGCAGATTGCTCTGTGTCATCTTTCTAAGTTTCTGTATCAGATCAATGGGCTCCATATTCCTTGAGGTTTCTTCCTACTTTATTTTATGTATGTGTGTGTATTTTTCCAAAACACAAACAGCTGTATTATTTTTGTGATTATAAATAGAGTGTGTTCTCACATAGAAAACTCGAGCCATGCAAACAATACAGGAAAGTAGAAATAGCTAGAAAATTCTACATTCTAGACGTATACGTTATTAAAATTTTAATGATCTCACTTCACATGTAAGTATGTCTATTTTTCTCTCTCATTATTTTAAGTTGATAAAGTCAGACTATGTATGGCTTAAGTTTACACCCAACATTCTGTTCTAGAGATCTTACCATGCAAAGTACTATCCCTATGCTTCATCCTTTTCAGGGATCCTCTGTTTTTTCCATTTTTATAATTTGATGCTAGGTGAGAGCATCACATATGATCATCATGACAGAATCTACTTGGGTTTTTTGGAGAGAAGCAATATCTTGAGAATTTCTCTTAATAGAGAACAGTTCCTTAAAAAAAATCTCAAAGGCCCACCCTTGTCCATCTCCCTGAGTATTTAGAAGCTATAGAAATTCCAACCTCATTAACATTGACGTAAGCACAAGATAGTCTATTAATACCATAAGCAAGTGGGATAAAGTTATAATAGTAATGTTAAGCTAGTGGATAAATATTAAACCCCAACTAAAGTAAAATTTTAGAAAGAGCCCAGAGCCACTATTATTTCCTTTTTACCCTCTGCCCTGCATCCCCTAGAAGCTACTGTTCCTAGTTTGACACTATCCATTGTGTTAACTGATCTGAAGGCTGAAGTTTTTGATAATTTTTGTCATACTTGTGTGCATTTATGCATAGAGCTATTTCCTTAGTACAATGATCATGCCTCTACCTTTTCCTTAGAACTTAATATCACTTATTTAAATAGATAAGACTATATTATTAAACAAAAATTAGAAGTTTCAAGGAGTGTCAAGTAATATCCAGAAGCATTCAAAAGAATGAGACCTTTCCTCCATTTACTAATGATTTCCATTCATTGGCCTTATTCAAAAATATCATGTGTGTGTTTGTGTGTGTGTGTGTGTGTGTGTTCTTACAAATACACATGTAGCATTAAAATAGGCTGCAAGACATTATATAATCATTCAACATGATGCAGAAGAATGACATAAAAATGTTTGACATATTAAGTGAAAAAGCATGTTAAACCACAGTGTATAAATATGGTTTAATTTTGATAAAATAATTATGTATACAGCTATAGAAAAAGAAAAATAGTTATTCCACAGAAGGTTAACAATGGTTATCTTAGTGTTCTGGAATATATTTTTATTTCTTTTTTATGCTCTTCTACTTTTCCAAAATTTCTTTAATCAACACCCATCAATTTTATAGTCAGAAATTAACTCACTCTTTGGAGAGATGAGAATGTTATAAATAGGGGAGAGAATCTTTAAAACCAGCAAAGAAACCTTTTTAGATTGTTATGACCATCCCTTCCCAGAGTTAGTATAATAGAAAGAGTCCTAAACTAGACATCGAATGCCTGCTTCCCTATTTATCTAGTTAGTAATTTCTCTGCACCTGCTTCCAGAGAGGGTCTGGGCTCCAGACTCACTGTGCTAAGTTCCCTGCTGTGCACTCAGTTAGACTCTGATCCTATGATTAGACTCTGTGCATTCTTAGAGGGAACCCCCACCTGTCCACAAGGATGTCTCTTTCTTGTGAGCTTATGTATCTTGCTCCCATCAGATAATAGCTTGAAAAGTGTCTTGTTAACTCTAAAACAGTAACGTGGAAAGATCCTTACTAGCACGTCATCATTGAGTATCTCTGTTCCTATGGATCTTTAAAAAAATCTCATCCCAGGTGTGTGTGTGTTTCTTTCCTTTTTACCTGCAGGGCAAGACACCTCAAGACAGAGCTCAGCAGGCTGGGGACCCTGATTTGGCTGCTTACCTAGAAAGCCGTCAGAACTATAAGATCATTGGCCACGAGGACCTGGAAACTACTGTTTGACCCTGGTAGACGGGCAAAGAGAACCTGAGCGAGCATATCACCTGGGCCCTCCCGGCGATCGGGCAGCTCCCCTGGAAGAAGCTGATGGAATCCATAAATCTGTCTCTCTCCTGCAAGCATCTGAGGCCATGCCACCAGTTTTTAAGGGCTACTGAGATGTACAACAGAATGGAATAGCCCACAGAGGACGAGGCAGGATACCTGGAGATTGGTGGAAAATGAGTTCCACAAAATTTGATCTTTATTGCTTCCAGCAAGTAGCATGAACTTCTGTGTTCACCTGTATCATTTATTTTAAAGATTCAAAGGATGTTCCTATAAATGGCACTGCTCCCTTCTCCCCTATGCATTCACCTTCCCCTGTACCGCACCATTCTGCCTGTAACCACCCAGAAAAAATTCGATACAATCTGTTCTCTTTACATTCAGTCTTTGAAGACCACAAGACTGTCTGAAGGTCTTTTGAAACCCTCTGGTTGTCCTGCAGAAATGTAACTGTAAAACTGCTTCCGTTTCCAAGACTAAATATACCAGGATGACTTAGTGACTTTTTTGCATGTCACCCCTCCCTGCTCATTTCTTTTTCATCATCTGGGAGCTGGGAGTTGCCACATGGATAATGTCAACTTGCGCATTGTATCTCTGAGGCATGGTGAGGTGGCATGGGAGTCTCCTGTTCTCAGCGGGACCTCAGAGAGGTAACCCAGGGGTTGGCCCCATGTGCGGGCCTGTTACTGATGGCCACAAAGGCCAGGTTCAGCTTGGGCTGTTTGGACAGCTCCATACTGCCCAGGTGTAGCCATCTTTGCCTTTTGCTGCAATAGAGGTGAGCAATGGACTAAGCCAAGGCCCGTAGCTAGTCTGCAGAAGCACTTAACTTTAAGTGCTGTTTCAACTGCAGGGCAGAAAAACCACGTGTGGGAACTGTGGCTACAGGAAATAGAGCTCGGTGCCAGTGTTCACTTCTTGGCTTTTTTGAGTGATAATGGAAAGCAGGCTAATGGACTTGAAATAAAACAGCAGAAGCAAAAGTAGCAACATATGTCAAAATAACTCACTTAAGTAAGAAAACAGTCACTGGAGCTTTGCACAGAGGCTAATAAGTACAGACTCTTGGGTACAGTGGTGAGAGGGGCCCATTTAGGTTTTCCTTCTAAGTTTCTGGTTTTCATTACCCCCAAGTTCGCCCTATGCCAAGGACAAAGCCTTGCTGTGTGAGTTTCACTGCCAGATTTCCAGGAGGTGTGGCCCTTTCTGATGGATGCCTCCACCTACTCCTGGTCAGCTCCCAAGGTCATACCTGATAGCGCTATAGCCCCATTTTACATGAACGGGGTAATCTATTAGTTTCTCTATTTTCTTCTGCTAGAAAGTTCTTAGTACAAACCTCTGTGGGAGCGCAGCCAGGAATGTTTCTCTGGCAGTGGAATTGCAGCTTCTAATCCTGCCACAGAGCAGTTGAGACTTACAGGTACTTCTATTAGGGACCTTGTGACAATTACAATATTAGGAGACGAAGACTTCTAATTTCTGGTGAAAATGTCTACATGACTTGGGTGTAAGTCAGAAATGAAAGTGGGTGATCGAGGGTTTTGCTTCACTCTTAGACATAAGCATCAAGCTTCCTGACTCTTTCTGCATGTGAGCGCACACGATTGTTTCTCTGTGTTTAATGTAAAGGTCCAGCAGCGACGTGCTGCTGATCTGAATCACATTTCGGCCACATATCATTTTGAAAGTACAAATATGATATACTGTTAAGTAGGAATAACCTCTCAGTGGATGGGGCTTAGTCGTCTCGAAATCAAACGGCTGGCATTATTTTCAGCTGTGGGAGGAAGGGTTGGTTGCGAGTAATCTATTTCCATAGATCAGTCTTAGAAATGCAACTATATTTTGGGTTTTATGGTGAGGGGAGGAGGAGCTGCAGTAGATTGTTTCCAGAAGCTGGAAAAAATTATGCTCCAGGAGAATTTAATCACTGGGCTTCTGCTGGGAGTTTTTCAATTGGTGGGACTGTCCAGGAGATGTTGTGATGACAGAAATATAATCCTTCAAACAGACTGAAATCTGGCTTTGGATGGTGCCTTCCATTCCCTAGATTGAGCCAAACACTTGGCCATGCAGTCAGTTACCCAGCTGCCATTGCTGGGATGAAGGACTATTTTCACCAACTACCATCTCATATTTCTCTGTAATGCTTCAAAGCAGCCCAGAGAAAATTTAGGGTACAGGTGGCTAGGGGCCAATTCAAATAGCTCCAAGTGAAGTAATAAGTCAACCCCCGGAATGAAAATTGATGATGTACTGACTGCTGTAGGAGTCTTGGAACATTTGGAAATTGTTCCAAAAAAAAAGTCTTAGAGTCCTACATTATTGGTGGAGAACGATATATGACCAAGGCGAATATCTCTTTGAGAAAAGCAAACACCCCCAGGACTTGGGCTTAAAAAGAAAAACATTAAAAATGAGCAAAAACGGTTACATATTTAATGGTTTCAATATTGCATCTGCCTCCTGTAGCATTTTATTTTTTAATTGATCATCGCGTGGGACAGTCCTGGGCTGTAGAACGAGCGGAGGGCCTATGCTCCAGGAGTTTTCAACTCAGCGTAGGCGTATGGTATCCCCCTTTTAATGGGCCCTCAGGAAAAATAGAGGCAAAGAGGCTGGCCCTGGTCTGAAAAGCCACATTCACAAGGCAATCAAGCTATATACCTGTAGAAATATCATTTTCTACAAAACCTACTGAAACTACTGCTGAGAGTGGCCAACATGCAGCTGACATGAGCTGGGGCCTGTCTGCCTTTGGATTCCATGTTTAGATTAGCCTGATAGAGGGCTGAGAAATGGAGAGTTATTAAAAAGCAACATGATAGTCATTTTTGAAGCCCTATGTTCCAGTTTTACACAACTAATAAAATAGAACCCAGTTAAGCTGTGCTTTGTCCCAGTCAAGGGCGTGACAAAGCACAGAAGCCAAGGAGGAAATAAGCACCATGGCTGGGGAGTTCTCTGAGCGCTCGCCTTACCTCTATGGAGGTTACAACCGTAAATCTGATGCAATTCCTGAAACGGAATGGAGCTGGCAAGCACAGTCGTCAAATGAGTGGTGACTGATGGGAATCCTCAAGACCCCCACGGCTCGCCGTCTTTTCATAATCACTGGCTTTGGTGCTTAGGCAGATCTGTTTGCCTTGAAAGATACTCAACAGGTAGTTAATTTTCATTTGGACCAAGTGACAGTTTCTTTGCTGAAAGGATTTCTGAAGTTTATTTACTAGATTCTCAAAATATCCAGGTCATAGAAAATGTGGAGCAGCAGTTTTATTTTTTCCCATGCCAACTTTATTTAAAAAATATATATTTTTTAAGCTGTGAAAGTAGAACCTGCTTTTTATAAAAGGTTCTAAGACCATAGATGAGTATCACAGGCAAAGCCCAGGGTGTAGTGACTTCTGCCCCACTTTCTGGCGATCAATAGTATTTACCTAATAAACATATAGACATCGCCGCTTGTATGTCATATCAGTAATACTCTGTGCATATGTCAGCCCACCCCAAACACATAGAAATGTATTTATACACATATATGTGTCTGTATACTATACACACATATATTTCATAGGTTTAAAAAAGCGAAAACATTTTAGAAGCACCCCAATCATCTGTATATGTATAGTTATCACCGACAGTCAGAGATAAGGTACCAGAGCATTTCCATGTATTCATTATTATTTCTACCATGACTAAGCTTAGTTTTATGACTGTATAGACCTTCAGTTGCACATGGCATTTTCTGGTGCCTGTGCCATAAAATCCACGACCAAGTGGTCTTGCCATTATGTATGCTGCCTTCCATGAAGCAGAACGCCTACCTGAGCCCAGAAACTTATCTAGGCTGTTGTGGGTCTCAAGTGGAGAGTTTCTTTCTATGTGATGCCTGCACGCTTCCCAAGCTGAGTTTCAGGACTAATACTCAGGAGGTTGCCTACTGACACCGGATTAGGACAAGCTATTGCCCGGAAGGTGTAGTAACTTGGATGTGGGCTGGAGTCTGAGTAGCTTGGCTTCCTTTCAGTGGGAGTAGCTAATGAAATCACTGGAATAGCATGCTATTTTATGCAATTGCACTATTTCAAAGTAAAATTGATCATTGTGAAAATGGCTCATCATAACCATCAAGTAAAAGTACCAATCGCTCTCCTTAAATGGATTATTTTTATTTTGGGGGAAAAAAGTAGAACATCCATTAAATTAGAGAGTTTTCTAACTGAGCTTAAACATTTATTTACTCTAAAATAGCTTCTGCACATGTTTTATAGAACCATCTCTGAATCGACTTTTTCATTCTCCGAATTCCATATTCAGCTGACTGACTGGGAGTCTTAGAGTTTTTTTCTCTGCCAAGCCACTCATTGGCTTTGACGCCATCATCCCTTTTCTGGGTCCTGGTCATCACTCATCGCTAGTCCTTCCAATTGTCTGACCGTGGCAATAGTCCTGCTCCCAGGCTTTCTGCCTCTACCTTCATCGATTTTTTTCCATGCACATACCCAAATCCTCCTCAGCTATTCTCAAAATGGATCAAAATGAAATCACCCTCTGGGACAAATATCCATTTTGCTTGAAGGACAAAAAAATATCCACTGACCTTGATGCTCTTATAGAATTCCAACCAGCCTTATTCTGAGAAGTAAGCTGCCAGAGAGGTTTAGCAAATTTCCGTTTTAGCCACACCAGGGGAGTCCACAATTATGGCAACTTCTTCCACATTGAATGATGTAAATAATGTGGCCCCTTGAAGTCACCTGAATGACTGGATTATATATGGGTTATGCCCCGGTGACCATCTGTGGATTCTAGGCTGTCTCTCCATAGTGTAATGAAAATCCTGAAAATAGGATTCTAAGCAAGGAGTTGTGCCCTTGGACCACCTGCTCTCCCAGGAAACTGGAAGTCACTGAATTGGTCCCCCAAAAAAGCAGAAAAAAATAGAATTTAAGGCTGTTGAAGCATTACTTATTTTTTCTCTTTTTTTTTCCATCACCAGTTATCCCCACCTCCTCTTCAACCTCCAATTCTTCCTGCAATTACCACACTGTTGTTCATGTCCATGAGTTCTTTCCCTTTTTTCTTCTTTTTTGCTCAGTCCCTTCACCGACTTCCCCCACCAGAGCTGTCCACCTGCACTCTGTCTATGAGTCTGTCTCTATTTTGCTTGTTTAATCATGTTTGTGAACCAATCGTACATTTGTGCATTTAATCATTTATTTTAAATATATAGTTATCACATACTCTGATGCAGGCTTGGACCTAAGAATGGATATAAGAAACAAAACTCCATACTAAGGATCTAAAAATGAATGCGAGAAACAAATTACACTGGGCAGAAAACCCCAGGGTCCTTGGGGAGCATGCTCTGGGGGCTCAATCAAGGCTTTATTGTGCTGGTCACTCTTTAGCCAGCAATGTTTTACTTCTATGAAATATGAAATGAGAATAGTAATATGCAAGGGAATGATATTTTGCATTTTTTTTCCTTGGAGTCTTGGTACTGTTCTTAAAATTGTATTTGAAACCAAGACTTTAGGATGAAACTTAGAAACACTACTAAAATGAGAGCTAACACTCATGTATCTTATATCTCAAGGACATCATTAGAAACAATAGGCAAAAATTACAGTAGGTTTGGATTAAATACAAAGAAGATGAAGTATAAATATTGTCAAAGAGTGGAGTGAGCATCCTTACAGAGTTATGGACTTTCGGCCAGTGGGAATATTTAAATTGGACACATGACCACGTTGAGGGATGTTGGGACTAGGGGCCTGTGATCTGAGGGAGCTGGAATTAGATTCTGTGAGTTTTTCTTTTAAAATAACTTTGTAAAATGGCAGGATTTATTTGAAAAATTTATGAACATCTTGACTTTTAATCTTTGGAACATCACTTTGTGAGAGGATTTAAAATTGGGGGGAGAATGACCTTTAGTTGTAATTTAAAACATTTTTAAACCAACTAAGCATAACTATACGAGCTATTGAAAAGAAGGCATACTTGGTAAAACTTACTTCAAAGTACTTGTGGAGCATTGTGGACTTTGATGAGTATTCTTAGGCATCCTTAACTCCTATCAGAAATCTGCTTCACTGTCTGTCCATCTAATGGGGAAAAAAAGTGCTGTGATTTGATATTCTTAGAATTAAATGTAACCTAATAGAACCACAGAAGAAAACTATGCTTAAAAGATATTTGGGAGCCAAGTCCATGTACTTGAAAAGCAATCATGGAAAATGCCTTGGCTCCTACTACTGGCGTGCTAATCACGAGGGGTAGTTTACCCATAGAAATAAAAAAAGTGATGATTCTAGGTATTCTCCAGTTTCCAAACTTTCAATATTTTGAGCCAAATGGCATCTGAAATTGGAGCCTTTGGTGATGGGAACAACTTGTTTCCAATATTTAAGTAAAACACATATGATTTTCAATAGAAAGTAGCTTAACTCAAATCTATACTGTTTATTATAACAATTCCAGTATTTTTTAAATGTTAGTGCTTTAACATTTTTATGTTTGTTTGTTTGTTGACACTTTTGAGCTTCATTACCAACCCATAAGGTGGATGAGGCTGATAATACATTTTGGATGAATAAATGGAACATCAGAACAGTGAATACAATTTGCACAGCTTTGTATCGTAACTGGTAGAATTGCAGCCAGAACTATGATTGTTAGAAACCACAGACTAACATGCATGCAATAGATGTTTTCTAAGTAAATAATTTCCCACCATTGCCTTCTATATTGTTTTATATCAATCATTCTGATTTCCGTAAATTAGAAGACTATTTACCTATGATCCCACAGTAAGTGTTGGTTTAAACTGAGGGGGAATGTGAAGTTACAAACTCAGGAGTGTTTGCTAGTAGACACTTATCATCTTGCATATATTCAAAGTAAAAAAAAAGGTTTAATGTTTTGGTACCAGGATGGATTTCACAAGAAGAAATTAACATTGAACATGATTTACTGGCTCTTCTACATTTGTGATTCTCAGCATTTAAAAAAGTTAGTACTTCAGGTCCTTGAATAATGTTGTTTGTTCCAATGTTGTTTTGTTATAACATTGATGAGATGCCATAGTCTATGGTGCAATTGGTTTCATTATACATTGTTTCACTTAAAGTCGTTGAACCTATCACTGATGTTAAGAGAGGACTTACTGTATTGTTTTCTCTCCTTTGCAGTTACTATTGGAATGATGCTATTTCATAATGATGCACCAAAGAGCCTTGAATTGGTCTTTTCACTCAAGACTCCCTAGCTCTAAGTCTGTGACTGGGTTTGCAAACCT